AGCGAGTTGATTGTAGTTGATGGAAGTTTCAGATAGGTCAATCTCTTCTATGCGTGATAAGGCGTCAGCCGCTTCGTTGTTATCACCGTGTACGTACTTAATATTTGAACAAAACTGGCTAATGAAGTGAAGTTGTCGTTCTCTTCGTGATGTGTCGCTGGTACTCGGTGATCTTGTTAGTGCATAGGTGAGAGGTTTGTGGTCGGTATATATCGTAAGGTCGTTGCCTTCTATTAACCTACGGAGGTGTTTGACAGAAATGTACATCGCTAATAATTCGCGATCGTACACACTGTAACGTCGCTGCGTCTCGCTCATTGTTTTTGAGAAAAATGCTAGAGGTTTCCACACGTTGTCTACTTGTTGTTGCAGTACGGCGCCGATGCTTGAGTTTGAGGCGTCGGTATATAAGCGTAGCGGCGCGCTATGTATCGGGTGCGTGAGAGTAGTAGCGTCGAGGATGCTTTGTCGACATTTCTCGAAGGCTAGCTCTGCTTCTGGCGTCCACGTTATCGGAGTCTTGTCTTTCTTCTTGGTGTTATGTAGGTATTTATTTAATTCATGTTGGTATTCGGCTTGATGGGGTAAGCAGCTGCGGTAAAAGTTAATCATGCCGAGGAATCTTCTTAAATCTTGAATAGTTTGTGGTTTTGGGTAGTTGACTATTGCTTGTATTCGGTCTTGAGTGGGTTTGATTCCTTCTGATGACACTTCGTACCCAAGAAATTCGATGTTTTGTTTGTCGAACTCGCACTTATCGATGTTTAGACTGACGCCGTAGGTATTTAGGCGTTCGAGTACTATTTCGATGTGGCGTCGATGTTCGTCTTGGTTTCTCGAGTGCACAAGTAGATCGTCGACGAAACAAAACACTATGTCGTCGAGTCCTCGTAGTACTTCGTGCATAAATCGTTGGAAGGTCTGTCCTGAGTTTCTTAGGCCGAATGTCATGCAGTTGAATTCGAAGAGGCCAAACGGAGTTATGATTGCTGTTTTCTGTGCGTCTTCTTTAGCAATCGGAATCCAGAAGTATGCCATCTTGAGGTCGAGTTTTGAGAATATTTTCTTGCCGTGAAGTTGGTAGGTAAAATCTTGAATTCGAGGTATAGGATATCGATCGGGTACTGTAACTGCGTTTAGTCTTCTGTAGTCGCCGCAGACTCGGAGTGAACCATCTTTTTTCTTAACAACGTGCAGTGGACTCGCCCAAGGACTGTTAGAGGGTCGGCAGATACCCATCTCAATCATGCGCTCGAATTCAAGTTTTGCCGCCTTGTATCGGTCGGGCGGCAAGGGTCGCGCTCGTGAGTATACAGGGTGTAAGGGACAGCCCTCCACAAATTAACAGGGTGCATTCAGCTCCTTATTCTGAATCATATTCCAGTGAAAATTCTTTCAGGAAAATTTTCATTTTTTTTTCGTTTTTTCAGTTCCTAAACCTCTATTTCAATGTATAATTACATTCTATGTATGAAGAATAACATTAATGTAAATAACACAGCTAAAACAAAAAAATACGCAATGGTTGCGTGAATTCTCTAAAGAACTACGCATGAAATCAGCTGTTCAATTTCTACCTAGCGCGAGTCGTTTGAACTCACCGCACCGCGGTCACGGCGCAGCGGCTCGGCGCCCCACCGCGCCGATCGCCGCGCCGCGCGCCGTAGGTATAATACCTACGATCCCGTCCAACGTACAGAATAGCTGCGTCCCTTTCTATCGCCCCGCCTCCGCGTCTCCCCGTCTCCCCGATTCTTTGCACAATGTTTGCCCGATTGAACCAGTGTTGCCAATTTTTAACCTTTGTTACCTCACGTAGTAAACGAAAATGTTAGAACTAGCGAAATTTATCTAAAACTTGAGAACTCCTTTGCTTTCATAATTACGTTGATGAGATTTTCATTAATCAATTAATGAAAATCTTGTCGCGCACATAAATTGAATAAGAAATAAATAAAGATTAGTCTAGTTTTAATTTTAAAGCATTTACAAATACTACCTAATTTATTAATTGATTGTTCTTTTTAAGCGATTACTGGCTAGTTTTTAAACTACTTACAGATTTTTACATGGCTTCACAATAGCCATGAATTGATAGTCGAGCCAGAAATTAAACACAATCTCCCTGGAATGGAAGCACAGCTTTCTATCACACTGCACTTTTATTATTCTAAATTAACTAAACAATGAAATTAGAATTAAATTGATTTAATCAATTCATTTCTCTACAAAAAATAACAGAATGATAAATTACGACCATGCATAATTTTTTATTTTTTACCCCGAAATTTTGTAATTTTCGTGTAATTGGCAACAACAGATTTATGTTTGTGTGTGTCTCATCACATGCAGTCGCCATTGTGCCTTGCTGCGATGTTATTGTTTGTGTACCGCGAGCGTGTGTCGGCACGGATCGCTCGCGCATTCGGCTTAAAAGTTTTGTTATAAGTAGTTTTGTTAAGTTTTATTAGTTATGTAGTGTGTGAAGTGTAGTGAAGTTTTGTTGTAGAAATTGTGCGAAATTACTACCTAGGTACGTTTAGCGCGCGTGATTATGGGGAGATGATAATGTGTTGTAGTAGTGTAGGTATCCTGACCGTCGCCATCCATCAGACTCCAGGATAATTACTGGTGACTATCAACGCTTGCTAGAAAACCAGCCCATTGTTCCCAGACAAAAAGGCGCCGGAAGACCAATACCTACGTGGATTTTGGAATTGGTTGGCTAACGTAAGGAGACGCTACCACTTACCAGTGCTTTCCTATTTAAACGTAGTTTAGGTAGGTTTGGACCGCAACCGTGGCCAGCACGATCCCCAGACCTAACCCATTTGGACCCCTTTTTGTGGGGTTACGTAAAAGAAAAAGTGTTTGTGAGTGCGTGCAAGTGAGTTCGAAATGCGAGACCGCATCACAAATGCTTTCCAGAGCCGGAAACCGGAGCGATTCTAAGGTACCTACGCATTTTTCTTTTTTATCATTTATCAGTTACCATGTTAGAATTGTTAGATTTTTTTTTGTAAGTAATGCAGCTATCTTTTAAATAATAATTTATTGTTATTAAAACGTGGCGCGAGCGCGATTATTACATTGTCTTTTGTAAGTAATGCGGCTATCTTTTAAATAATAATTTATTGTTATTAAAACGTGGCGCGAGCGCGACCGTTTGTCTGAACGTAAGGTCGCGGCGCTGCCCATAGTGTAAAGTAATAATACTAAAAGCGCTGCCGTTCGCTGCGTGCGTTTGCGGTGGTAGCGATACATTGCGTGTAAGGTAATGAAACAAATCGGTTTAATTGGATTCCCATAACGTTCCTGAAATAATTTCATGTACCGGTCAACTTAAGACGATATACTGAATCCACCCTATCAGTTTGCGGAGGGCTGTCCCATACACCCTGTATAGGCGGTCCGGTTGTCTCTATATGGTGAGTGACGTCATGTTTCACAGGAGTCTTTAATGACATGGGTCGCAGAACATCGGGATATTTCTTTAGTAGGTCGTGATAAGCGTGATCGCGGTTGACCATGTAGACGGTGTCTTGCTCGGTGCCGTTGATCTTGATCGCGTTTACGCTAAGTTCTGTGATGCGGTCGATGAGTTTTCTGTGATGCAGGTCGACTAGTAGTTGGTGATGTACTAGGAAGTCTGCGCCCAATATAGATGTGTTCACGTCGGCCACGACGAATGTCCACCTGAATCGTCTTCGTAAGCCTAGGTTGAGCTCGAGTGTGCGCTCTCCGTAGGTACGGATCTCGGTGCCGTTGGCCGCGAACAGTTTGTATGAGGTCTTCGCCGGCTTGATGTGTTTTTTGTTTCGTGCTGATAAAACCGATATGTCTGCTCCCGTGTCAACAAGAAATTTTTCTCGGAGGTTGATATCTATGATACAAAGTCGGCGGCTGGTTTGGTTTACATCGACGCCCGCCAACGTCGATGTACTTTCTAGTTTTCCCGCTTTTTTGAACACGGCGATTCGCATTTGCGTGCTTGGTCGCCGAATTTATAGTGGTAGCGACACACCCAATTCGGGTCGCCGGGCTTGATATTGTTATGCGTGTGATGTCTGGATCTTGATTGGGAGCGTGAACGGTTGCGGTGTGTGAAGCGCGGGGAATGTCGGTAGCTCTGCTGGTTGGTGCGGAGGTCGGCGATTTCAAGTGATAGCTTTTCTATTTGTTTTGACAGTAAGGCGATATGTAAGTTGTCTTGACACGCTGTTGCTGTGGAGACTGCGTTGATGGAAGCTGGCTCGAAGTTCTCCATCATTTTGTCAGCCATCGCAGCTAGCATCTCGAGTGATGACTCTGTGTTGACGGAGAGTACGGCGCGTATTTGAGCTGGCAGTTGATTTAGCCACATTACTTTAAGTGCCTCGTCGGACAGGAGTTTGCCGCTGAGGTCACGCATCTTGCGGAGTAGCTGGCTCGGTTTTTGGTCGCCGAGCTCGAGACCACTCAGCAGTTTCTGTAGCTGGCGATGGTCAGACTCTTGATATGTGGAGATCAGCCGTTCTTTCAGTGTGCTGTACTTGCCGGTTGCTGGGGGGCTTAAGATGATGTCGGCGATCTGTTCAAGGTCGTTGTTGCCGAGCAATGGTACGACGAGGTTAAACTTCTGCTCTTCTCCTATTTTGCTGGCGGCGACAGCTGCCTCGAATTGCGCAAACCATAGGCGAGGATTTTGGCGCCAAAATGGTGGCAATCTAGCGGGCAGGGATATTGTCGCCACGTCGCTCTTCACTGTGGTTACACCGTGGGCGTCGCTGTATTCTTCACTGGTCATACTTCTTCTGACTCGCAGGGATTTGCCGTCTTGATATTTATTTGTGTTCTTTTTTCTTCTTAGGAGGGTCACCAATTTAGGAGTGAGAGCAGGGTTTCTTCTTATTAGTGAACTCGAGGCTGTCGTGGTTTGGAATGATTTATTCGGCACAATGTCTCTACTAATATTTACATGTCTTATGCCTAACTTACACGCTATCACACATAGGTATATGTCATCTACCAATAGCAGCGCGCGTTCGTCGCAAGGCTCGACAGAGCGGCTGCGCGCATGCGCCGTCGCGGTCGCCGTTCGTCGTGATGTCGCGAGCACAGCGCGAGGCTATAATAGGGCGCGTGCCGCGAGACGCGTCCTTTCGCTCCGGTGCCGCCGACGACGACAGACGTGTCTGTGCCGTGGACCGCAACTTCGCGTCTTCGTGTGCTTCGAGCTTCGCTTCTGCATGCTTGCCTGCTTAATTGCTTGCTCACTATATCTCGTTTCTGAGCAGAAGTCAAAAACGTTTAAAACGTCTTTTTCAAGACGAGTTTCTGTTAGCAGAAGTCAAAAACGTTACAAGCGTCTTTTTCAAGACGAGTTTCTGTCAGAAGTCTAAAACGTTTGCAACGCCTTTTTCAACGCGGCCTGTTTCACTGTTTCTGATCACAGAAAGTCAAAAACGAAGGTATTGGTTTGTTGATCACGGAGGTATGGTAAAGGTAATCTGGTTCTTCAAGGAGGTACGGTAATGGTTATCTGGTAATAGGTATGAGGTGTGGTGGTTATGCCATAGAATGTAGGTAGGTATGTATGTATGCCGCTATAGACCAATAGCAGCGCGCGTTCCTCGAAGGCTCGACAGAGCGGCTGCGCGCATGCGCCGTTGCGTTCGCCGTTCGTCACGATGTCGCGAGGCTATAATAGGGCGCGTGCCGCGTGACGCGTCCTTTCGCTCCGGTGCCGCCGACGACTACAGACGTGTCCAGTGTTCACCTGTGCCGTGGACCGTAACTTCGTGTCTTCGAGTGCTTCGAGCTTCGCTTCTGCTTGCTTGCCTGCTTATTTGCTTGCTCACTATATCTCGTTTCTGAGCAGAAGTCAAAAACGTTTTAAAACGTCTTTTTCAAGACGAGTTTCTGTTAGCAGAAGTCAAAAACGTTACAAGCGTCTTTTTCAAGACGTGTTTCTGTCAGAAGTCTAAAACGTTTAAAACGCCTTTTTCAAGGCGGCTTGTTTCACTGTTTCTGATCACAGAAAGTCATAAACAAAGGTATTGGTTTGTTGGTTACGGAGGTATGGTAATGGTTATCTGGTAATAGGTATGAGGTGTAGTGGTTATGCCATAGACTGTAGGTATGTATGCCGCTATACATTATTTAAGTAGTTGGTTTGAATATGTGAGAACAGTGTAACGCTAATATACAGAGAAACAAAAAAAGAAAATAACCTTAAGGACAATAGACAGTCCGGAGCTGACCAGTCCCAATTGACGACGCCCGTTCACGAGCATGACACGTACACCAGCATCGCCCAACTCAACCATAATATAGGAAATCGAGCGATCCAGTGACCGTGCCACCGCCAGTGTGACCTTTGAGTGAGCATGACAACTCCAAGCTGACATAAGGACCAATATTCTGGTAGTCTAACTAATTGTAATAGGTTACAGGTCACTCACATTTACAAATTTACCAAGTTTGACAATAAAGATGGCATAGTTACAATTTTACTAAACTTAAGAAGTTCCGTTCAAGCAACGATTCACTGGAACATTATTTATTGTCGTGTCGGTATATTATCAAGTGGAGCAGGACTCAGGACCAGCATGTTTCCAAGCATCCTTATCCTTAATATAATCACTCAGTGTGTGATATGCTTTTCTACACAAAGTTTTCTTTACATATAGTTTAATAATTGTTGAATTTTGCCTGGGCTTTGTTATAACATTTAACACAGAATCCCATGAATGACGTAATGCTATGATAGTAGGTAGCTGAAGTACACCAGTCTTGCAGGATCTTCCAGACAGCAAATGCTGCAGAGCTCAACCGTCCTGCCAGAGATGTGATATGGGGACCCCATTGTAGTTTCTAATCTATCCAGAAAAGTAGTTTGTTTTACAAATTCCAATTTCTTGCCGTTTAATAATAAGTCACATTCGTTACTTTTAACATTTGGTAAACTGAATCGTATACACTTTCTCTTTTTGTCGTTAAGAACTAAATTATTAACTGTAAACCAGATATGAACCTTCGTAATAGCATTATTTACGTAGTCAAAATTATTTGTCGGTCTTTTAAAAAAAAATCAATGATGTCTCATCAGCAAATAATACCATTACTGGTTCATGTTGAAATAAATGAGGTAAGTCATTTATGTAGACCAAAAACAGGAAAGGACCTAATATCGAGCCTTGTGGTATGCCTATAGATATGCTAGCACCCTGGGAGTTCAGTTTATTTACCTGTACTTTGAGCTACTTACCCTAGAGGTATGATTTTAATAAATTGATTGAAGCCACTCGAATACCATAGTGTTCCAACTTTAGCAAGTGTCACGTGTTCGACGCAATCAAAAGCTTTGGACAGGTCACAAAAAATTCCAATCACGTCGTGTGACTTTTCCCATGCAGCCAAAACATGCTTAAATAGAGCTACAGCGGCGTCAGTTGTGGATCGACCCTTGGTGAAACCATATTGTTGGTCATGATGAAATTCATGTTAAAGTGTCGTAGCATCTGAGAAAGCATCAGCTTTTCAAACAACCTACTAAGCATTAGTAAAATTGATACCGGCCTATAATTATCGGGATCGGCATCATCGCCAGATTTGAACAACGGAACTACTTTGCTAAGTTTCATCAAATTTGGAAAAACTCCCTGATCTACACTTCTATTATAAATTAAAGCTAAATAAGGCGCTATAGCTTTTTTAAATCCAATCCAAAATCCAATTGAAATATATGTGTTGTATAGCAGACGGAAATCAGGAAATTCACAAAAAAAAACTTTAAGATTAATAAATATTTATTAAAAAAATAACAATAACAATATTCATTAACACATAAAGGAATCGCAATTATTTTTTAATCCTCTTACTGCGCCGTGGTGTGCTGCCACACTCGCCGTCCCTGTCACCGCTTGGTCTTTTTCTACCAATTTCGTCACTATCATCATTTTTATCACTGGCATCACTCTTGTCTTGTCCCTCACTAATCCTGTCCCTCTCACTCTCTTCTTCTGGCGTGTCTTTGTTCTCGAAAAAATTGAATTCCTTTGCGACTCGCTTAGGCTCGGGGGAGTACGCCCAAAGTAACATCTCGATGTGTTCCGGCGTTGGGTCGTCGTCTTCAGTAAACAGCTTCGCGCCACCGAGCTGGGGGTCAAAGAAACACGTGAACTGATAGACTGCACAGCAAAAAGCCATGAGTTCGAGTCATAGTCAGTTTATGTTTTATCGTGATTCTTATTTTTTTTTAAGTGCATTAAAGCCATGTTTCGTCACAAATGGAAGTGATACCACGGCCTCACAGAAAACCGGCGTGAAACAACCACAGTGGTTTGTTTTCCCTTGTGACTGAGGTTACCAAACCTTAAATCTCCTAAACCCTATACAGTCGGCAAAGCACTCGTAACTCCGTCATTGTTGCGGGTATCCATGGGCGGCGCTGATTGCTTACCATCAGGTTATCCGTCTGCTCTTTTACCGTACTATTACATAAAAAATATTTGATCAGCACTAACAACAAATACTTTTTAAGGAAATAAGGCTACCAAGTGATCTACGAATTACTTGATGACAAGCAATCGGCTCTGCCCATAGCAACACCAAAGGAGTTACAAGTGTATTGCCAGCTTTTTGGGGATTAGGGTTTAGGTTATTGAAGGATGAGGGGAGGGTAAAAATTTGCGTCTTCGATAGTATGATACTCACGGCGTAACATAACAAAAAATTTTTAAGCCAGTTTTCTGTGAGACCATGGTGCCACTCCGGCGAACCGACCCATTCGTGCAGAAGCATAGCTCTCCCACACTTATTTACCAGCGCTGTATCTTTTCATACCTCCTCTATCAGACATCATTATATTCAGTGGCCTCTTTCGCACTTCAGTTCTTCAGTCAGTTAGAGATTCGCCCTCTACTGGAAGGGACTCGTATTATTTCTCGACAGTGCATATATCATGAAGTACCTGCCTACCTCCAAGCAATAGATCTTATGTTTATAAGTACTACAATACTCATAAGTGTCCCATTGTAAGTCATAGCTTCGCTGGTATAAACAATAGTCGGATCACCTTCTCCTTGATGAGTTTGAGGTGTGTGTTCCTGACGATGTCCCAGGTGGAGTCGTCGCCCGGCGCTCGCACGGTGCGCAGACGTTTGTACTCGCCCGACACGCTGCTGTACGCTGATATGAACGATTTCTGGAAGAGAATTTTTATTTTTGTTGTATTAGCAGTTCTGGTGATCGGGTCTGGACTCGCACGGGTGCAATGCTGATGCTAAATGTCTCCACTATTTAATGGATGTTATCTATCCCAGAAACAACTGGTTCGAATTGAAAAAATATTTTTGTCTTTAATAGAGCATTTGTTGAGAAAGGCATTAGGCTGACAACAGAGCATCACGATACGATCTGTAGGAAGCGAGCAGCGGGTGAAACTTCGCGAGAGTAGTTAGGTATACATAAATCCTTCCTCTTCAATCACTCTATCTCTTCAAACCGCATCAAAATCCGTTGCGTAGTTTTAAAGGTTTAAGCGTACATAGGGATATAGGGACAGAGAAAGCGACTTTGTTTTATACTATGTAGCGATAAGTAGTAGGGTCCGTTTCAAGTTAGCAACAAAATATGTTTTCTCTCCCTCCCTCCTCTCTCCTTCTCTCTCTCACCTGAAGTTCAGTAACGCTATCTCCAGCCAGGTCCTCCGCTTTCTTAACTAAATTAAGCGACAGGTATGGATACTCCTTGCTCAAGTTTTGCTCCTTGAGGTCTAGAATTGTGCTCTCTATAGTCGTCATAGCGTCTTTCAATTTGGATATCTTCTTTACTGGAAGTTGAGATAAAATGTTAAGAAGTTTTAGGGAAGACATGCATTGAGTGAGAATTTGCGGTGAAGTTGGTAAAGGATGATGTAGGGCCTTAGAAAAGGAGAAAGGTAGATGTCCCAAGCACCCTCCACAGACGGGCATGTAGGCAAAGACGGATGAAGCAGATGTTTTAGAATACTGCAGGCGTGACGATGCGAGTCCATGTTTTGGGTTTTGCTAGGTTAACGACTGGACCACGGCTTCACATGGGGCGTGAAACAACACTTACGTCACATTTTGTCATATAAGTAAAGTTACAATCTTCTCCTTGGAGATAGGATCGCCAAAAACCTAACTCCAAAATGGTCAGCATCGCACACCTAACTCCTCTGTTGTTGGCTCGCTGATTGCTTACCATCAGGTATTCAATGAAAATATATCACAGTCGATATGATAAGTGTGGGAGAGCCATGCTTCGGCACGAATGTGTCTGCTCGACCGGAATGATAACACGGCCTCACAGAATACCGGCGTGAAAGAACCACAGCGATATATTTTGTCAGGCCTACCTTCCTCTCTCCCCATTCATAACTAATCCCTAAATCTCCAGAAACCTCATCCCCAAACGGCCGGCAACGCACTCGTAACTTCTCTAATGTTGTAAGTTTGTATGGGCTGCATTGATTGCTTACCATCAGGTCAAAGCACGTCTGCTCGTTCACCTATCACATAAAAAGACCAGTATCTCCTTACGCCTCTTGCTGCGCCGTCTCTCGCTGTCACTCCCGTCCTCCTCGTCACTGCTCATGCATGCGTTAACGTCTATCTCAATCTCCCTCTCCTCGTGCATCCTAGGCTCGTAGAAGTACTCCCACACTCTCCTCCGGTCGGGGGTGTATGCCCAGAGTAACATTTCTATGTGTTCCTCAGTAAACTGGCCATCATCATCGAAAAGATCCTCGCGTTTGAGCTGTAATGCAATCAGTAATAGTGGCAGGTAGTTCTCGTGCAAGGAAGTATGGTAAAATACTACAGGATAGTTGGTACTACAGTCATATAATATGGAGATCTTGGTTGTAGCATGGTCCCAGGTCTTCTCCTCCTCAAATCCTTCTCCAATCCCTCTATATTCTTAAACCCCAAAAGGCCGGCAAGGCACTCATAACTCCTTTGGAGTTGCAAATGTCCATGGGGGGCGCCGATTGCTTACCATCAGGTAAACCGTCTGCCGTGCGTAACATAAAAAATGATATCTGTGATCGTACAACGATTTAAGTGTGGAAGATGCTGCTTCGGAACGAATGGGTCGGCTCGACCGGAGCGATACCACAACAACAGTGAAATAAACAACGTTGTGTTTCACCGTGTGGCTGAGTTACCGGAGGCTCCATCCTTGCCCTCTTTTTACCACTAAATCTCCAAAACCCTTACTCCCAAAAGTAACCTAGTGCCCTTGACTCAACCAGAATTAAGAGAAGTAACATTCACCTTCCGCTTCAGTTTCTGCAGCTCTCTGTGCCTGACGATGTCCCAAGTAGTGTCCTCTTCCTCCACGCGCACGTTGCGCAGACGTTGGTACTCGCCGCGCACGCTGCTGTACGCCGCTATGAACGATCTCTATAAACCAAATGACAATTCACATTCATACAGCTTCCTCCCATTACAGGAATATTTGTGTTATATTTAAATCCGATATCTTTCTTTCCCTCTTAATTTTCGACTTCATTCCCTACCTAACTTCTTTCGCACCCTCTCTTACCCTGTTGCCCTCTCTTTATCTCATCTGTCTCACCTTGCTTTTTTGTCTCTCTTCCCTCTGACTGTCTCACCAGCCTACATTCCTCTCCACCATTGTCATTCTTTCTCTTGTCCCTTCCTACCTTCCTATCTCTTGTATATCTCTCTCACTTTTCCCCCTGTCTATTACCTTTTCTCCGTGTCTCTTAATCTTCTCCTTTAAATCTCCCTTCCTCTCTTCCCTTGTGTGTGTCGCCCCCCACTCAATCCTCTCTATCCACCGTTCCCCCTATCTCTCTCACCTGCTGTTCAGGAATGTTGTCCCCAGCTAGTTCTACTACTTTCTTCACTGTTTCCAGGGAAAGGTACGGGTTGTTCTGTTTGCCAAGGCGTTTCGAGTCAAATTCTTCGATGAAACGTTCAAAGACGGCCATGGCTGCCATAATATTGGTAATCTTCTTATTTTTACGCGTCACTGGAATTTTATAAAAACGTTATTTCAAATTAATAGATATACTGTAGTGTGGGAGAACTATGTTTCGGCACAAATGGGTCATGGATCGGCTTGACCGGATCGATACCACGGCCTCAAAGAAAGCCGGCGTGAAACAACCACAACATTGTGTTTTACCGAAGCATGGCTCTTCCACACTCGATTTGACTTTCAAATGTGTTTGTGTTTATAAAATTCTCGCCTCATTTTTCTGAGCCATCTTATGCCACACTCTTGTCTTATTAAATCAATCTTACCGATGTTAACATCACCAATCTTAAGCTAAATGTTTTCATGCCATTCTCCAATGTTGTACGCTTATTTTCTTTTAACCTTGGTTTTATTAAGTCAAGCTAATTTTTTTGTATTGGACTCATTATCTCAAGCAAATTTTTCATAAGTTTACCTCCTTTATCTTGACCTCACTGTTTTTGAGCTCTATTTTTTAATGTAAATCTCACTTTTATTAGGTCAAGCTCTTTTTTCTAAAGATAAGATGACTTTTCTTAAGCAGCTCTTTTCGCCTTTTAAGCCAATTCGCCTTGAGCAAGCGTAGTCATTAATGCTCAAACCTTATCTATGTGAGAAGAGGCCTTTGCTCAGCAGTGGGCACTTACAGGCTGATGATGAAGCATAACTTACACCGGAGAACGCACCGGGCGTTGGACATGAGTGCGTTGACGACCATCTTCTGGTAGGATGGGTCCCTACCACGAAGCGCCCGCAGCGAGCGCTCCGCGACCGCCACGTTCTTGAACCCCAGCCCCGGCACCGACTTCGACGGCAGCGCCGGCTCACTGACCGCCTTGGTGACAACTTTCTCCATTGGTTGTGATCAACTCTGTAATTAAATGATCGAAACAAGTTTACCTCCCCATTTCAGTGTTTCTTTTTTGTCATGGGAAAATCATCCACTGATTTCTCCCTCCCCGGGGTGCGAAGACAGGGAGTGTCAGACTCTTACTGACTAAAAACCCCCGTTCCTTCTCCTGCTCTACTCCTTTATGCACCTAGGTACACAGAGACTGAAATTGCAATCTTCTCTTAGGTGCGGAGGTTATGGTTAACTCCTCTCTCGTAGAGGAGGAACGTAGGAGTGCGTAATAGGTAACCAGGTACCGGACAGACAGCAGATAGCTATTTAATAATATTGAGCAAATATATTATGTTGTGAAGTACGGTCTAGGATCAAAAGTGCAATCATACTGTACCAATGCAAAAATGCGTAATACTTATTTGAAATACAAGTTTAAGAGTCTAAAAACCTGTCCTTAATTACCTTAGAATCTACACATTAATCAGTCAAGTAACATCTGACTATCAACTATAATAATCATTTAGTAGACACTGTATAACTTTTACATAGGGTCATAGGGTCCTATTGAACGAGGCAACGAGGAATAATTTATATCGTTCATTATATTATTCGAGGAATTAGGGTGGTGAGATAGACCGAGACGTGGCACATTGGATCAACTCAGGATGGATGAAATGGCGACAGGTCACTGGAATTGCACAGGCACGATTGCCCCTCAGGTTGAAGAGTAAAATCTACAAGTCGGGCTCTGGGGAATGTTGAGCTCTGAAAAAGATGGATGAAAAGCGATTTCATGTAGCAGAGATGAGAATGCTGAGATGGATATGTGGTATGACGAGAATGGATAAAGTCAGAAATGAGTATATTAGAGGAAGTTTGAAAGTGGCGCCAGTGACTGAAAAGTTGAAAGGGAACTGTTTGTCTTGGTATGGCCATGTGAAAAGGAGGGATGAAAAGCATGTAACAAAAAAGCCAACCGTGCAGTCATTGAGAACAGATTGTGTGAGAAGTCATATGGAAGACAGAGGAGTTAGCGATAGCGTGACGGGTGACAGGACAGAATGGAAGAAAAAACATATTGCGCCGACCACAAATAAAACGGGACAAGGGCAGGAAGATGATACGAGGCGACGCGACGGTCAGTTTACACAAATATCAAAATCAAAAAGGTTATACCATATCAGCGGTAGCGAAACCATAGCGCGATCTATCTCGATGGCAACGCCATCTATCGAGCGTCGAGACAACATTTACGCTATTTTCCGTTAGACAGATTCTCAATTCTATTGATCAACCCGAACAGACACTTTGAGCATTAGTGAAGTGCAATTGCACTCCTGACTCTCACTGTTTATGTAGCATGGATCCTTCTATGATCTACAGACAAAGTTGTAATTAAATATCTGAGCAGATGTCACCTTAGGGACGGATTCAGCTGAATTATAGTTCCCTATATCTACAGAAAAAACGCGTCATTAACCGCGTACAGTACGATCGCGGAATCTTGGCGAGTCTGAAGTTAGCCGTTTGTCTGCGCAATGGATCTTTTAGGAACAAAATTGTGTACTGCGCAGCTAATCGGCTAACTTCAGACTCGCCAAGATACGTTGGCGGTATTGTAATCGTGAGCAAGTTCAAATAATAAACCGCGACCCGACAGGAGAAGGAAGAAGGTAGCCAATAAGAGTCTGAAGAAAAACTTTGCCGCCCTAATACTGACACACACACACAGAAGACTCTAATCAATCAGCACTCATATATTGCTATAAGTACCTAAGTAATTATTCACGATTCTGAGTATATTTTAATAAAAACCCCGACAAAAATACTAAGATCCCTTTCCCACTCGCACGTAAGTCACCTTTAAAACAAAAATAAAACTAAATTGAAATCGCTTCATCCATTCAAGCTCCAGGATGCCACAGACAGACAGACAGACAAGTCAAACTTCTAACACCCCTCTTCTTCCGCCGGGGCGCGGGGGTTAAAAGGAGAGACTGACACTGACAGACAAATCAACGCTCGGCCTAAACGGCTAAATGTAGAGACTTGAAATTTGGAAGGGACCTAGCTTAGGTACCATAGAGGTGCACTAAGAAAAGAATTCCCGAAATTCCCGCGGGAACGGTAGCTCCCGTGGAATGAGAAAAATCTAAACCGCTTAAGCGAGACCCTTGAAATTTGTAGTACCTTAGTAAACTTAAAGCTAAGTTGCAACAAGATATTGCAATATTAATTTTTCCGGCATTATTTTTAAAAAATGCCGGAAATTATTTTTATACGAGTACACATAAGTGTGAGAGAGCCAAGCTTCGGCACGAATGGCTCAGCTCGACCAAGGCCTCACAAGAAACAAAACTGGCGTGAAACAACCACAGCGTTGTGTTTCGCCTTGTGAGTAAGGTTACCGGAGGCCCAATCCCCTTCGCTTCTATATCCCTAAATATATCAACCCTTAAATATCCTCAACCGTTATCCCCAAAACGTCGGCAACGCACTCGTAAAGTCGTAACTCCTTTGGAGTTGTGGGTGTCCCTGTCCATGGGCGGCGCATATTGCTTACCATCAGGTAATCCGTCTGCTCGTTTGCCGACATAGGTATTCCATAAAAAAAATATGTACTTATCAACAGTGGAATCTCCCACCACCCAATAAATAAATTGTATCAAACATGAGCTACGGAGCCATCGAGCCATCAAGTCAACTCTGATCATAATCTATGACTTAAAAACTGCAATTATTATAGTATGGGAAAATAAAAAAATGCTGAACCCTTAAAAAAGCTATAAACTTGCGAGTAATCTGAGTGTGTAACATTCCTATCACATCTTACAAACAACCCGATGATAAGATCACTCACAAAGGTCAAAAAAAGTAAAAAAAAACATCTAAAAACATTTATTTCAATTAGACCATTACAGGCACTTTTGAACGCCAAACAAATTTATCTCGACTGATATGCCTTTCTAAGAAAAAAAACCGCATTAAAATCGCATCATCCGTTTGAGAGTTACGATGCCACAGACAGACACATTAAAACTTATAACACCCCGTCGTTTTAGCGTCGGGAGTTATAAACACATATTATCTGTAGATACCTTGGTAATTTGTTATTGAGGTTATCCGCGTTGCGCGTTGCGAGTGTCACGGGCCACTGGCTAACACAACACTATACAGTATAACAGCTGGCGCTTACTTATAAACAAAACAAAAAGAGCAAGTTAGAACACGTTTGCTCATGCCGTGACGCCGTCGCTACGTTAGTTCAACAGACAAGTTAATACAAGTTACAATAGCCGTCTTAAAAGGTTTAATAGTTTCATTGTTTTGTTTCCCGCCTTAAAATGACATTACAAACGCCTTTAAAATACACAGTTATAGGCACCGTAAATAAATACAAGGAGCAATGATAGCCCTTAGTGTATTCAAACAAATCAAACAGCCATCCGACTACGGCAGAACGGGGCGTAAGCGTAATTACATACGGTAAGCTACCTACGAACAAGGAGAAGAAATGAAATGGTTTTTAGTCGTCAGTAAGAGTCAAAATTTCTTGCTTCACATAGCATTGGAACTTGGACAAAGTGTATTATAATAATCTGCTGTTAATAATAAATATGGCTATCTCATAATATCTAGGTTTAGGTACCTACCAACACAATAAATCGAATAAATCAGCTTAATTATTTACTACGTCTGCGTAGGCTTTTAAAAATACATTCAATTATCCCAGGATCTTATATATACATACATTACACGCTTTTCAAATCAATAATGTTTACGTAAGTATACAAAGAATATTATCAGAAATCTTATCTAGTGTAATGTAGTGATAAATTGTATGGCTCGTGTTGGAATGTCAAATGTAAACAATATTTTTATTTGTAACTTTATTATTTAGCTGTGCTTTATCCATATTATTCGATAGGTCAGTTATAACAAGCGGTGTTAAGATAGTACTTAATAAATAAAATAATCTATTTCCTGTCGCCTTACTTTTATTTTTGTAATATTTCCCCGGTTGTTACTGTCTGCCCCCAAAGTATTTTCTAAAAAGAGAATGTTTGTGTTCGTGATTCGTACATTGTAAGTTTGACAGTCCGCTGTCCACAGATTCAACATCTAAATGTCAATTGTCAATTTATGACAGTGATTGATACGTTTAGAAATGATTTATAATGTCAAAGATTTTTTTTTTTTGTGTTATTTAGGTACACTTTGTGTATATGTTTATTATATTTTTGTATTTTTGGCTTGTATTTATAACGTTATACCATTTAGCGTTAGAGGTTTATTTTAATACAAAACGGTCCAAGTACAGTTTACAATCATATGTCACTAGTTACGTGTGTATCACTACTTACATAGTATAAAACAAAGTCGCTTTCTCTGTCCCTATATTCCTATGTACGCTTAAACCTTTAAAACTACGCAATGGATTTTGATGCGGTTTTTTTGAAATAGATTGAGTGATTGAAGAGAGAGGTTTATTTTATGGAATAGAAGGCAAACAAGCAGACTTATCACCTGATGGTAAGTGATCGGCGCCGCCCATGGACACCTGCAACACCAAAGCAGTCAATGATGCGATGCCGACCTTTTAAAAAGGAGTACACTCGTTTCTCAAAGATTAGAAGATCGCATTGGTTCGGAAGTACCGGTGCTGTGCAATGCGTCTGCCTCGCATCCATTATGCATAAAAGACTAATAGACTACTGCAACAAATTTCATATAATTAGCAAAGAGCAGTACGGCTTTCAGGAAAATATGTCTACTACATTGGCAATATTCTCTCTTGTAAAAGCTATAGTTACCAACATCAATAAAAATAATCTGACCACTGGGCTATTTTTTGATATTTCAAAAGCCTTTGACTTACTCGTTTCCCTCAGTCAGGTACCACACTTTAGTGGATAGCCTCTTATCTTAGTAACAGACTACAACGTGTCATCATTGATAGAATAGACGACAGTCAGAGTAAGGTGTATTTTTCTTCAGAATACAAGCACAATAAACATGGTGTACCACAGGGAAGTGTACCGGGCCCTATTTTGTTTGTACTGTACATAAATGACATTTAATGACATTTATAAATATAACCAATGTATATTGTTCGCTGATGACATTAGTATTATTATAACAACAGAAAAATGTAATAATGGTATAAATAATCACGAGAATGAAGTAAATAACACTATAGGAAAATTCACACTGTAAAAAAATCTTAATAAATCCGTATATATCAACTTTAATTAATGTAATAATTCAAAATATAACATTAAACTAAGCATATCCAAAATTAAAGACGTGTCACATACAAAGTTTTTAGGCATAATAATAGATGAGAATTTAGTGATACCCCATATAGCCTATAACCAGCGGACAATTAAGACGTTTCTAATGATATGTAATTTGTCGAATTCTGATAAGTAGTTTAGAAGTTACGAGGGAACAGACGAACACACATACATACATACATAGCCTGTCAAAATCATAACCCTCCTTTTGCTTTGCCGTAGTCGGGTAATAAAACGATTGTAATTAAGTAACTGAATATTTATTGAATAAAAAATAAATGCATCAACAATGACAAGTTATTGCTTAGTCCTCTTGGAGGGCGAGTCGTCCTCCCGCCCGCTACTCCGCCGCTTCCTCTCCTCCTTGGTCTCCGGCAAGTATTTCTTCACCCTGGCGGGGTCGGGGGAGTACGCCCACAGTAACATCTCCAGATGCTCTGCTGTGGGCTCGTCCTTCTCAGTGAACAGTTTCGCATCTGCGTGCTGGAACATTAGTATTTTTCAAGCAATTAAACAATGTTAATGTGGAGGGCCTCGACCAGTGTGATACCACGGCCTCACAGTAACTGCACCGGTGTGAAACAACTACAGCGTTGTGAATGACCGGAGGCCCAATCCGTCCCCCATCCTTCCTCGATCCTTGAATCCCTATTGCTTTTTTCTCTGGTCTTATGAGTGTCCACGAGCGGCGCCGATTGCTTACCATCAGGTAAAGAGTATTCTAGTTTGCAGGTGTATCATATATGTAGGTAGGTATACAAATGTCAAAAAAAAAAAATTAAGAACTAGGGAAACAACTCATAGTTGGATGTGTTTTTGAATCGACGCCAATGTCAAACGTTCAAGAAAAGCGAAGACTCCTTCTAAAAACACCAGGGGTGTTGTTTCGTTTGAGATTGGAGCTGTCTACTGGCGACGTTGATTGCTTACCATCAGGTAATCCGTCATTAATTAACAGTAAGTTACTATGGTTCACACCTTCTCCTTGATGAGTTTGAGGTGTGTGTTCCTGACGATGTCCCAGGTGGAGTCGTCGCCCGGCGCTCGCACGGTGCGCAGACGTTTGTACTCGCCCGACACGCTGCTGTACGCTGATATGAACGATTTCTGAAACAATATAACCTTACTCCAGCCATACATAAAGTAACGGGAAGCCTTCGACTTGGTCTTAGTCTTCTTAAAAGAAATGTTGAGGAATGCTGTTCTGGTCTCCAATTTTAGTACATGGACCCGCAATCAGTATTAAAGGCATTTAAAGACATAAAAGTTAAGTCTACGAAGGATCTCTGGGAATGTCTGTTGCAGTGTGTAGGGCTTTTATAGAAGCTATAGCGCCCTATTTAGCTTTAATTTTTAATAAAAGTGTAGATCAGGGAGTTTTTCCAAATTTGATGAAACTTAGCAAGGTAGTTCCGTTCTGAACGTTCCGAACTTCTCGATTTAGTAAAATTGTAATTTATTGTCAAACTTAATAAATTTGTAGATGTGAGTGCCCTTACAATTACTTGGACTAGCAGAATGTCGGTCCTTATGTCAGCTTGAAGTTGTCATGCTCACTCAAAGGTCACATTGGCGGTGGCATGGGCGCTGGATCGCTTAATTCCCTATATTATGGTTGAGTTGGGCGATGCTGGTGTACGTGTCATGCTCGTGAATGGACGCCGTCAGTTGGGACTGGTCAGCTCCGGACTGTCTATTGTCCTTAAGGTTATTTTCTTTTTATATTTCTCTGAATAAAGTAATTTTCCAACTAAACCATAAATAGTTAAGTTTTGGAACGTCAAAATAGAATCAGACCCGGAGCAACAATCTGTGGATCACACAAAGAGTTGTTCCGTGCGGGAATCGAAACCGCGACACATAGCGCGGCAGCCAGTTGCCCAGCCTCCGCACCAGCCGTGCAGTCAGTCGTACATAATACTATAGAATAGTATATTACTTTAAGTGTGGGAGAGTCAAGCTTCGCCACGATTAGGTCGGCTCGATGGGAGTGATACCACGGCCTTACCGAAAACCGGCGTGAAACAACCACAGTGTTATGTTTCGCCGAGTGAGTGAGGTTACCGGAGGCCCAATCCCTCCCCTTCCCCAATCCCTAAATCCCCAAAAGATCGGCAACGCAATCGTAACTCCTCAGTTGCGGGTATCCATGGGCGGCGCTGATTGCTTACCATCAGGTAATCCGTCTGCTCGTTTGCCTCGTAAAGTATATTACCTGTAGTTCAGTGACAGTGTCTCCGGCAAGTTTCTCCGCGGTCCTGACGTGTCCGAGCGACACGTAAGGGTTGTTCTGCTTGCTCAGGTGGAGCGACTCGAAGTCATCGAGGAACTTCTCGAATATTGCCATCGCTTCTTTAATGTTAGCTATCTTTGTCTCATCTCGAGTGCCTGGAACATTAGGTAGGGGAATTATAATGGCGTTTATATGGGACAAGCTCCCTGCAACTCCTGTACACCAGGATCTACAGTAGATACAACTATGAAAACACCGGAACACTGAAGTCCGCCGCGTCCCAGGGACATGCATGACTCTATTGGATCCCGCAACGAAATAAATCAGAAGATATTATTTGAGGAGAAAAATACAATGGTTTATCAGAGTTGGATATCTTTGGGAACGTCTGATAGTTGTGGCGACGCATATAGGAAATGGTCGAGAATGGTCAACGTCGTGGTGACCCGAAGGTACCAATGTTATTATTTACACACCATTGACATACAGTGTAGGAAAACATCGTGAGGAAACCTGAACTTATAATTTCTCATTAAAGTTTGAAATCGCAAATCCGCCTTGAGCAAGTGTGGTGGTTAATGCTCAGAACTTCTCCGTGGGAGAAGAGGCCTTTGGTCAGCAGTGGGCACTTTACTTTACTATACATATACAGTAGCTGCATACTCACAAGTGAGCACCCTCTTGGCTCGTCCTATGAGCCCCTTGACCGCCAGGCGCTGGTAGTCAGGATCCCTCCCCTCCAACTCCTTGAGCGTGCCCTCGGCGGCCTCCTTGTCCTTGAAGCCCAGCCCCGGCACCGACTCTGAGGGGAGCTCCTTCTTCTCTTTCTGTTTTTTGTCTTCCATCTCCACGTCTGATGCTGATGAGCTCTGGAACAGAAATACAAAATTTTGAGTGGAGACCACGTCTAGGCAAATGTAGTGTAGGGCGCCCTCCAGCTAGGTGGTCTGACGACATCCATGGGCTAGCAGTGGTTGGACGAGAAGAGTTGAACATCGAGCTCAGTCGCGTGCAATTGGAGAGGCCTATGTCCAGCAGGGGACGGTATCAGACAGATGATGATGATGAAAGCCTAAATGTGTTCTGATATGCTTTTTAGGAGGAAATTGATCAAAATGACTCAGATGATAAATTACTGAATGTAAAAGAGCCAAGCCGGGTTACTGTAGCTATAAAGAAGGCTGCCTATTCGGAACCTCAGTTGCGAAAAAGTGAAACGTAGCTGTCTATATTAGAGCGAGTTACTCTACATACTCGTATGAAGTTTGCTGGCGAAAGTGGTTTGTTGTGATACAATATAAAACTGCTTACACATACCTACTTACAATGATATTATAAGTACAAGAATTATAAAAAAAAATAAAAAACCCCCGACAAAAATCTAATATTCCTTTAAAAAGTAATAATTAAAAGAAAACGTGGCGTTGGGGGCCGATCCAAACATTTTATTATCAACTACAATATTGTCGGGGGTCTATTTTATTTTATACTTTTTATAGGTATTTTATATCATTTTCTCTTGATTAAGTCATCAACATTCCCTTTCAGTGCGCTTTCATTTGACACCCCACTTAAGTATATTTGCAGACCTTCGGTAACCCTTACCCCCCACGTACCCCCCATAACTTCTAAACAGCTCAACCGATTTTCGTGAAACACGTCTAAGAACACTAGCACGTAAGTCACCTTTAATATAAAAAACTAAATTGAAATCGCTTCACCCGTTGAGGCTCCAGGATGCCACAAACTGACAGACAGACACGTCAAACTTATAACACCTTTCTTTTTGCGTCGATAGGTTACAAGCGCTCAGCAAGGGATACATTAAAATGTGGCTAACTAGCCACACTTTTTCATATTTGTCTCTGTTCCACTCGCGGTTATTGAATCATGCCATCCCACTTTAACCTGTATCATACGATTTATTCATGTGTGCATAAGTTGGCAGTTTTTGAAAATCTAATGTTGTTTATGTAACCTATCTATACCATTTTACTTATAATATCATTGACTACTTGAGTCATCATCAGCCTATAAGTGTCCACTGCTGAGCAAAGGCCTCTACTCATACGGAGAACGTTAGAGCATCACCCACCACGCTTGCTCAATGCGGGTTGGCGACTTCAAACTTATAATTAGAAATTATAAGTCCAGGTTACCTCACGATGTTTACCTTCACCGTATGTCAATGGTGTCTAAATAATCATAGAAAGTACATATGACTCGGAAAAAGTCACATTGGTACTTGCCAGGTTTCGAACCCTTTTTCATGCATGAGATGCGGGCTCCTTAACCTCCGGGCCACCACGACATTTCGCCACTACTTGAGTAACACTAATTAATTGTGATATATGTATGTGTACATTTCAGCAACAGACACAGTCTCCACTCACCTCATCACTGCCACTCTTCTCCTTCTCCTCTTTTGTCTCTTTCTTCTCTTCCTTCTTCTTCTCCTCCTTCTTGTCCGGCTTGTCAGTCTTCTTGTTGGCGTCGAGGTCCGCGAGCCACTGCTCGAACACCTCCATCGCTTCCTTAATGTTCTTTATCTTGTCTTCTGCTTTTGTCACTGCAAGTACAAGTTACCTGATGGTAAGCAATCAGCGCCGCCCATAGACACCCACAACCCCAGAGGATTTACGCGTTGCCGGTCTTTTGGGGATTAGGGTTTTGCATATTTAACGTTTGGGGAGGGATGAGATCGGTGGGGGAGAAATATTGCCTCCGGTAACCTCATTTGCACGACGATACAACGCCGTGGTTGTTTCACGCCGGTTTGAAGAGAGGCCGTGGTATCACTCCGGTCGCGCCGACCTATTCGTGCCGAAGCATGGCTCTTTCACGCTTTGCTACAAGTTTTTTACAGAGTTGGTGATGCTACCTATGGACATTGTATTATACACTTGCAAGCTTTGAGCCTTTTGGGAATGATAGAATTTGGCTTGATGGTCCAGTACCTCATTGACAAATCCCGAGCATTATTCCACGTAATTCTTAGAGATGAATGCATCACTCAGTCACATGTGCTGAAAAAAGATTAACTATGCTACTTACTGGAGAGCACCCGCTTGGCCCGTCCCAGCAGTCCCCGGACGGTGAGCCGCCGGTAGTTGGGGTCATGTTGCTCCAGAAGGCGCAGCGTCTCCACCGCCTTCGCCTTGTCTTTGAACCCGAACCCGGAGTCTTCTTTCTCGTCCTTACCCATTGTGCTGCAACGTTATAATTATTTTATTAGGAGTAGGTACTGATGCTGATGGGCCTTTAGTGGAAAATGACGCAATTTGTGCTTTGATTTCTTTCTCCACATCATCAGCCTACAAGTGCCTACTGCTGAGCAAATGCCTTTTCTCACACGGAGAAGGTTTGAGCATTAACCACCACGCTTGCTCAAGGCGGATTGGCGATTTCAAACTTATAATTAGCAATTATAAGTCCAGGTTTCCACGCGCTTCGTCGACGTTTTTCTTCACCGTATGTCAATGGTGTCTAAATCTTAATCATAGAAATAACCTCCGGGTCACCACGACAATTTCGATTCCTATCAACTTCTACGATCTCCGACGATTCCTATCGAAACGGATCTGAATGTAATTTGGCACAGAGATTAGCTTACAGTCTGGAATAACATATAGGCCCATATACCCAGGTCAAGGTAATAATATCAACAAGTATTTCAACTTCATAGAAACGGCCGAAACGCGAACTATACCTACGCGCCCGATGTCGGGACGCGCTCGGGACGCAGACAGACGCGGCTGTACCGCAGTGACGAACGGACGGTGTGTTGTCGCTTTCATTCGTTCAGTGTTGCCACTGACAAATGTCACATAGGCGTCTATTATTTGGTACTTTATTTTTCTGGGATTTTTTTTTCTTTTATTACTCTATTTTTTAATCATAAGCCGTTAGTTTTTTTGTAGTAGTTTATTATTCAAACAATTATAAAAAACATATTTAAATACTTATTTTCTTATCTTAAGTTTCTGCGCAGATTGGCGTCATGCGTTAGTGACGGCCATCGCTGAAAATCAGCGCCGCGAACCCGTCTCGTACGGGGTCGCTGCATTATGCTGAGCGTGGGCCATTTCGCGTGCTTGGACGCATATTTTTCTCCTACCGTCTACTTTTGTGATATTGTTTTTACCTTGCTCAATGTATTTTTATTTTAACTTTATTCTATTATCTTGTTCGTTTTGTGTCTTTTATGCGTCCCAGACGCGAATAAATACTTTTTCTTTCTTTCTTTCTTTCTTGTCTTTTATTTAGAAATCAGCTCGAGTACATTATTTAATATGACGAATAGGAAATATTGTGCTGTTATTCTGTTTGGTTGCATGAATTCGTCAATAACGCATCCAGACATAAGTTTTTTTTAAATTACCTGGAAACTCTGAAAGGTAAGACTATAAAATAATTAACTTACTAGTAGCCTAGGTAGGTACATAATGTGTGTCTTTATGGATCATTATTTCCAGTTATCTCACGAAAACAGATGTTTGAATTTATAAATAATATGAATAAAGTTATTGAGACGAGTGAAATAGGTAGTTATAGGCGGTTCTGGTTCTGAATGAATCATGATACGTTAGGTACCTACCTACTTACGCTTGTGTTAAAACGGTTCATGTATGTTTTGTTAGTTTGTATAATTCAAAGTAGAGAGTGTGGTATTTTATTATTAATAATATTTGTTTATTATCTGCGTTTATGAATAATGAAGGATATGCTATAAGAATAATAAGCTATAAGAATAATACTAGAAAATATTTAATAACAACAATAAAACAGCTAGACTCATGTAATATTTTGATGTTTGAGGGTTGTGATTTTAGAACATTCGTAGTCAGCTGTTCAGTTCGGCATTAGTGGCCAAAGAAATTTTGTTTGTTTATTTTTAAAGCACTTTATTTGTTTATATAAAAAAAGGATATTTACAATCACAAAACTAAATGGAAACAGAAAGTAGACAAAGGTAATTAAAATACTGGAGACGAGCAGCCCTAACGCATGTTTACGTACCGCGCGGCTGTAGGTATTTATTTCTTTCAAGCGGTCGAGTTAAAATACTGTATGATATTTATACTGTGCCCAGGTATCTACTTATAAATGAATTGTTTTTACGTCTGTCAATCACCAAGCAAGCACTGGTTCGTTAGTTGTCGCTAGTCGCTTAGTTACGCACAATATTATGACTATAGATACACACGTCGGGTAACTCATGGTAGCTCATTGAAAAAACAGTTTAACCAAACTACGCAACTAAACTATTGTTACGTGCCTGACGTCACGTTCCTGACTATGCGGGCTTGGGTTACGGGATTGGATGAAATGAAACACTAATACCGGTTTTCAGACTTTCTATTGCACTTAAGTTACAGCGTCCACGGAGTTAAGTTATCGGCGTTCCTCTCCAGCAGAGTCCGGCCGACTGACACAACTTTGCCGTTCACGCTGACTTAACTCACTTAACTGACTGCACTTCACTATTTCACTGCACTTCACTATTTCACTCACTTTTCTTCTTTTTCACTTCTTCCTTTTCTTCCGAATCGCTTTAGACTTAGAACTCAACTGCCAGCGGTGAGCCGCAGTTCCGCTTATATACCCCCGGTCAGGTTCTGGAACATTCAATTTCGTTATTCTTTTTGATCGTCATGCCTCCAGAACCTTCCAATAATTTCGTTATTCATTTTTATTTATTCTCCTTCTCGCTCTTTAATTTTTCATTTCTTTTACACAAATAATTCCAGAAAGTTCGACAAAACTTCCATCAACTAAAAAACTTCATGTTTACGGCGGGACTCGAACTCGGGGTCTCTGTGGTGTAATCCACACGCCTTGCCGATTACACCAACTCGTGTTGACAATTCACGACGAAATTTACAATCTCTAGGCAACGTTTGACAACCATCCATTGACGTCATGATGTCAAAGAGTTTGAACCACTTTTCCGTCACACTGCCCTCCTCTTAGATTCGCTCGTCCCGAGCATCGTTGCTGCCGTAGTACCTCGCCAACCTGTCTATATGGACAACTTTCAAAGGGCTCCTTGAAGTCTTCCGAATTCTGTAAGTAATGTCATTGATCTTCGTGACTATCTCATAAGGACCTTCCCAACTCGGTTGCAGCTTCGGAGATTTTCCCTTCCTTCTGACTGGATTATGAAGCCAGACCAATGACCCCTCTTCAAACCCAACAGAATTGGCTCGTCGATCATAACGCGTCTTTGCGCGATCACTAGCTTGAAGACCGGCCTCCCTGATCTGCTCATAAATGTCCAACATTTTTGCCCTTAACTCGCTTATGTAATCGCTAAACTCGGTGCGAGAGTCACCAGGTGGACAGCCCGATACAAGATCTGCCGGTAATCTCAATTCCCTTCCAAAATTTGCAAATGCAGGCGTCTTTGCGGTACTTTCATGTACAGCAGTCCGATAGGCAAGCAAGAAGAGAGGTATGTAAGTGTCCCAATCTCTCTGATGGCTGTCAACCACCTTTGCTAAGTGTCGCTCCAATGTTTGGTTGAAGCGTTCGACCATGCCATCTGACTGTGGATGATAAGGGGTCGTTCGAGTCTTATGGATTCCCAAAAGTTTACAAGTTTCCTGAAAAACTTGGGATTCAAAGTTTCGTCCTTGATCACTGTGCATCTCCAAGGGCACTCCGAATCGGGTGAATACCTCGTTTACCAACTTCGTGGCTACCGTTACTGCCTCTTGATTCGGTATGGCAAAGACCTCCGGCCATTTTGTAAAATAATCCATAACCACTAAAACGTAGCGATTGCCCGAATCAGTGATTGGAAATGGTCCAGCTATGTCTAAGGCTATTCTCTCCCAAGGCATACCAACATTGTAGATTTTCATCGCCCCTCTGCTTCTTGTTTGTGGGCCCTTGACAGCTGCACAACTAGTGCATTTCCGGCACCAATCTTCGACGTCATATTTGCAATGCAACCAATAAAACCTCTCCTTGATCTTCACCAAAGTCCTCCTAATTCCCAAATGTCCTCCAGAAAATCCATCATGGAACGCTTTTAATACATCCCTTATTTTTGAACGAGGCACCACCAATTGCAAATGCTCGTCCTTGCCGTTTGTTGATTCCCATTTCCTGCACAGAAGTCCGTTATGCAGCGTAAGGCTTTTCCACTGTGCCCATAAACCTTTCGTTACCGCGCTATATTGGGCGACGTCACTCCAACTTGGCTTGTTACCACTTCGTAGCCACTCCAGTATTGGTTTAATATCTGCATCTCTTTCCTGTTCTAATTTCATCGCATCATCTCCCCATGCCTCGTCAACAGTATCAGTCCTTATCACCTTAAGAAAAGCAGTTTCCTTCTTGGCACAATGCTTGCAATCTTCCACGCATGGGCGTCTCGATAATGCATCTGCGTTGCCATGAATTCTTCCGCCGCGATGTTCGATTTCAAAGTCAAATTCCTGAAGTTGTTCCAACCATCTGGCTACTTGGCCTTCGGGATCCTTAAACTGAAGCAGCCATTTCAAAGCAGCGTGATCAGTTCTGATCAAAAATTTCCGTCCCAGTAAATACTTCTTGAAATGGTGCAGAGTTTTGACTACGGCCAGCAATTCCCTCCTGGTCACGCAATAATTCCTCTCCGGCTTGGATAGTGACTTGCTGAAGTAAGCAATAACCTTCTCCTGCTCACCATCGCGTTGTGAAAGGACACCTCCTATTCCAATATTGCTGGCATCCGTATCAACTACGAATATTCCTTTCGCACTGGGGTATCCGAGAATTGGTGTGTTACAAAGCCGTTCTTTTAGTTCTCGAAAGGCTTGCTCACAATCCTCGCCCCAGATAAAGGTACGTTTCTCCTCTGTCAATCGATGCAATGGCTTTGCAATGTCCGAGAATCCTTTCACAAACCGCCGATAATACGAGCACAATCCAAGAAATGCCCGAACTTGCGTTTTGTCTTTAGGTGTTGGCCATTCCTTAACAGCGGCAGTCTTGGCTGGATCAGTCTCAATTCCTCTCTCAGAAATAACATGTCCTAGATAATTCACTTCGCGCTTGAAGAAAGAGCATTTCTTTGGACTCAACTTTAAATTTGCTCCACGCAGCTTGTCGAGTACCTTTTCCAATTTCCTTAGATGATCGTCAAAATCCCGTCCAACAATGATGATGTCATCGAGGTAAACTAGGCAGGTTTCGCCCAGCAGTCCCGCCAGCACC